GCCATTCTCACAAAGTAGTTTCTTTTTCCATTTTAGGGAATTATATCTCTCTTTTGATAATTTTGTTTACTAGTGTTTCTTTCACGTGACGAAGGAATGGTTTTGTTCTTTGGAAAAGCTAAGCCAACCGAATGAATACTGACATTTAGGTCTAGGGCCGAAGAGAAATCAGTTTCTTCCTACCACCAATTATGCTGCGGGCATGAAAAGCGTAAAAGTGAAAAATAGAGTCACCATTCATTACAGATCTTTAGATTCCATAGTGGCTTATTTGGCCAGAATAGAAGGAGTTACAGAGAAATAGGAAAGAAATCGCCTAATGTTTTCTGGAAAAAGACGGCTTTTTGTACAACTACATACTCTATCCCCCAAAATCTTACATGTTGCTTTTATGGAATAAAAAGTTGAGTGTGTAAACATATATAAATTTACGTATAATATATATTTATAATATAAATATATTCAATGGAATATATATATGCACGTTTATATATGCCGTTCAGCATATCACAGTAATTAATGACCGAGAAAATCAATTTTCTCAAATAAAGATAGCCTATCAATAGCTTTCTTTCTGGAATACAATTTTTAAAATGTTTAACCTTAACTACACCACTAAGTACAGGTTGATGGATGATTACACAGATCTTAAGAGCAGTGATTAAGACCACTATCAGAAAACCTAATTGCCTTATCTGCATTCTAGATTAGACAGTTTGGTCGTTTTACAGTTTATCAGTTTGTAGCATCTTTCATAAAGTTAGTAAATTGACTTTTTCAAGGATGTATTGTGCTTGAGTATCCTGAAGGTGAAACAAAGATTTATTAACTATTTTCCCAAGGCAAGAATATCCTCTAAGAGTTGCATTGGACAAATTAGTTGAATTTCAGCTTTTCTTTACCTACTGTGATTTCTGTCTCCTTTTCATATTTGAGGGACTTTTGCATATCTTTCTTGGCTCAACAACTGACAAGTGTATTGTCCAGCCATTGTTTTTGTCCCTTTAATTATGGAATTGTTGCTATTTAAAAGAAATTTCACAGACGCATGCAATTCTTCCCAAATACATCGCACCAATACCACATTTTTTACATGATGAATAGACATAGTACGTCCTAGGACTTGTGAATAGTGAATACTGTGACGTGCTCTCTAACAAACTAACTTAGTCAAACTGATGTCTTACTGCCACCCACTGAAGTCCCACGTGTGCTGTGTTCTGCATCTTTAGTTTTAAATTTGCAGTCATTTCCAATGTATGTAAAGTTTCTACTCCCAGAAAAGTGCACATGTTCATTCAGTTTTAGGGGTAGACATTAAGCCAACCACTGAAAGTAATATAAAACTAATGCAAAAGATAGTCATTTACCACAGGAGTTTGGATTTGTTGAATGATGTGTAAACATACTGGCATCATTGCTGCCGGAGCAAAGCACCACAGAAGCCGACTTGTAACAGGGTGACATGCTCGTGCGTTATCGAGCTGGAATAGTCAGGGTCAGCTCTGTGACATTTCTGGGAGAGTAGAACCCAAATAGCCACCTAGTTTGTGGGCGTGTAGAGACCACGGGGAGTTGAGAATTATACTTAGCAACATGAATGTATCTTGTTCAGGAGAGTGAAGAGTGTGACTTAACTGAAGGAAAGGAGCCATACAGGGAAACAGTGACAACTGATGACTAGGGCAGGTTACATTGCGGAGGCTCTTAAAAAAGAAATGTTTCTGAAAACCAAATCTAAAGATCCATTGAAACTCAGTGAAGGTTTTTTGAGTAGGTGAGTGAAAGAGTAAAATTATGACTGAAGATAAATTGAGAGGAATGCTTAGTAGTATGTCTTCCCAGGATCGTTGGTCAACAGTTTCTCCAAAAGGCTCTCCCAGGTCAAATCAATGGGGAAATACCAGGTGTCTTTACTCTGGGTTTTTTCTAAGACATTAATATGTTAATGGGCACTTTGATGTCCTAAAGGAAAAGACAGCATTTCCCAAACGTATTTGACCGCGGAACACTGTCTAGGAAAGCAATGCCGGGACCACGTATCCTATATACTGCTGCCAGTGTGTCTACGAACTGATTTATGTAAGATGGGGACTGATGTATAATTTTAAATCACTCACTTGATTTACAGCTTAATTCTTTGTTCCCAAATTGGTAGCAATGCAAGACCTCTCCATTTTCTCCATGAGTG